TTACCATCTGGATGTTGAGCATGTCTTGAAAGGCAAACATGTTTTATTATAAATGACTTATTAGATCTGTACTGTCTTGAAATTGACCACTCTCTTGACATCCCTCTCTTGTACAACATGAGCAGGTGTCCATCCCAGAATTTTTTCTTACAATCACAATTATTTGGCAAACTTTAAGTGAATTCAGTCATGTATCGGGGGTCATCATCTTATTTTAAAAAAGTGTTCTATGGCAACTAGATGGCGCAGTGGATAGAGTACTGGCCTTGGATTCAGGAGGACCTGAGTTCAAATCCATCCTCAGACACATAACACTTACTAGTTGTGTGACTGTGGGCAAGTCACTTAACCCCATTGCCTAGCCAAAAAAAAAAAAAAAAGTATTCTGTTAATAATTCTCTACCAGAATCCGATCCTTCTAGGTGAGGGATGAGCAGCTAAAGGAAAATAGCTAGAGTGATAATTTTTCAGTTGGTTTTAATAAATAATTGTAACAAGATTAGGTAATTATATATGCCAAGTATAAAATCTGGATTCAGAATTTTTTTTTAATTTTTTAGTTCTTATTTGAATTTGCCAACCTAAAAATGTAAGTTCTCTGTTCTAGTGATATTCATATTAGTGTTATTAAGTTTTGAGTTGGCTCTCACTACCTCACCTGGTTATTGTCACAGCAAATTAGAATTGTATTTAGATCTATTTTGTCAGAGGTGATTAACAGAGAAGGGGATCTCTGCAAGTGACCTGAACTGGACAGGCAAATACACTAGAAGTTGCTCTGAAGCTTCCAGTATTTCTAGGAGGAGAGATCTCCAGAGGACCACAGGATTGTATCAGAGGGTGTTTCAAAGGCAGGACAATTGTATGAGATGGGATTCTTCATTATCATCATCCTCTCCACAAATAGTTCCTAATCTACCTGTTCCTGAGCCTGCAGTGACTAGAACCTCAAAACTTTCTTTTCAGTTTCCTACTCTGGCTTTTGCTCCACCACTGACAGCAACAACTGATAACACTGATAATTCCTTTGTTCATGGAACTCATTCTATTCCTTATCTTCCCTTACTCCTTATGTTACAGCTATCTAGATCTGTTTGTGTTGTCTGCAGGGATCTTGCATCTCATCCCCATAATGGGGTAGCTGTTTGTTAAAATTGCCTGAATTGTTTTCATAAACTCAAAAGATTTCCAGAACCTGTACATAGGGCAAACAACGTTTTCATTGCTGCACTTGAGTAAATGCCTACGGTCCCCCGATTTATTCTTGGTTAGTGAAAGGTTTACCTCAGACATTTATTGTTACATTTAATAAAGTACAAGTTCTTATTTAATCAAATGGAATATAATCAGTATAAGTTGTGCCCATTTCCCTCTTTACTAATATCACCTTTGTGCCTCAGTGAGGGGACAGCTCCCTACTGGTTTTGCGTCACACATGGAGGACTGCCCTCTATGCATATAGATTGCAATAATCCAAAGAAACACTGGGGTCTTTTTGTGGATCGAAGTGGGGAATGAGAAAGTTGATTCCTTGAGGACCCCAACTCAATGATCAGTATTACTCAGTTAATTATGATTCCATAAGAGTAGTGATCATAAGTTCTGTGTATTTGGCTCCAGAGCTGTGAGATGCAGATTGTAAGTTCACACTTGTTTTTCCTTGTCATGGTGACCAAGCCTAGCATGGTGGAGGTGACTCAACTACAAGAAAAGTCCCCCAAACTTATTTCTGTACCTCTAGACTGTTCTCTCTTGTCCAACATGAGCAGGTGTCTATCTTATGACTACCTAGTCAGTAGAGATATTTCTTTCTTTGCCTAACCTGTCACCCTGTTGATATATTGTTTGCTTATTTTAGTCTATGCATCATATGTCAACCTCGAATGTTTAGATATTTAATCCTATAAAAATAGGGCCCTGGAAGGAGGGAGCTTTTTTTTTTTTTTTTTTTTTTTTTTTTTTTTGGTATCACATTGCTCTGCCTGGTATGTACTAGCCGTCTAATAAATTTTTACTGACTTACTGAAACATCAGTGAAGTGTTGTAATGGATAGAAACCTGGATTTGGAATCAAGAAAACAAGTGTCTAAAGCTTGCCTCAGAGAGCTACTAGCTGTGTGATCTTGTGATCATGAGGAAGATCTGAGGTCCACTTCATTAGAGGGGACCATGGACCCTTTAATAAAATGCCAGCCCAGAGCTGTGCCTCAGTTTCTCTTATTGTAGGTTGGATAATTTTTTATCACCTCAATTTGTTAAAAAAGAGCTGCTCTACAGGGGCAGCTAGATGGTGCAGTGGATAAAGCACCAGCCCTGGAGTCAGGAGGACCTGAGTTCAAATCCAGCCTCAGACTTGTAACACTTGCTAACTGTGTGACTCTGGGCAAGTTACTTAACCCCAATCGCCTCACCAAAAACAAACAAACAAACAAAAAAAAGAGTTGCTCTTCATCATGGCTCGATGCTTTTGAGGACTTTTCAATAGTAATAGAAAGGCAATATGGTTCATTTGTTTAAAGTCTTGAGAGATGGGTTTCAAAGTGGGATAGAAGTTACAAAAGCCATATTAAATTAAACTTTTATAGTCTATTTCTCAATGGAACTTCTGCTCTTGACTCTCACTTTTTTGCCAGTCAGCCAAAATTAGTCAATACTTGTTAAGTGTCCTCTCTTCTCAGCCCTATATGCTGTATATTAAGGAGTTAAATAAACATAATCCCTTTCCTGAGCTTCTCAATTTACACACTGGAGTGACAATTTAATCTTTTTGCCAGGTCCTTGCTGAGGAATAATGGAAAGAATCCTGGGCCAGATGTCAGTATTGGTTATTTCACTAACTGTGTGACTCTGGTTAAGTCACGTCATTAAGTCAGTCTGGGCCTCATTTTCTTCACCTGTAAATGAGCAGATTGCTCCTGACTATTCTTTTTTCACCTTGAGCAAAGTTGCCTGACCAATCTATGCTTCCCTTTCTCTATCTGATAGTGAGGATAACACTATTACTGAAGTAAAGGAAGAGTTAAAATGATTTATTTTTCTCTGGGGCTCAAATTTCTTTCTTGGCAATGCCAACCATGTTTGGCAATACTTTTCTTCCCAAGATGGTACTCCATATAACCTTTGTCTAACCAGACCACTCCTGCTTCCAAGTTTTTTTTTTTTTTGGTTTGTTTTTTAAATGAGACCTTCTTTGTGTTGGGAGTTCTTCCTTTTCTTCCTTCCTTCCTTTTTTTTTTTTTTTTTGGTGAGGCAATTGGGGTTAAGTGAATTGCCCAGGGTCACACAGCTAGTAAGTGTCAGTTCCTTCTGGCTCCAAGGCCAGAGCTCTATCCACTGCACCACCTAGCTGCCCCTAACTCTTCCTTTTCTTGTCTTAGCATTTTTTACTTTATCCTTTAGGCAACTACTAGAACATCTAATAGCTAATGTTTATAGAATGCTTCAAATTTTTCAAATCATTTTATTCACATTATCTCATTTGATCTTCACAGCAACCATTTGAGGTAGGTGCCATCATTTACAGCATTTTACAGAGGAGGAGGCTGAGGCTGAGAGAGATTAAGAGACTTGCCCAAGGTCACATGACCAGTAATTCTCTGAGGCAAGATTTGGACACTGGTTTTCTTGATTCCAAATCCAAGTTTCTATTCACTACAACACTTCGTTGATGTTTCAGTAAGTCAGTAAAAATGTACTAGACACCTACTATATACCAGGCTAAGCAACAGTGATACCAAAAAAAAAAAAAAGCCAAAAGACAGTCCCTCCTCTCAAGGAACTCACAACTAATAGGGAAGACCCCATATAAACAATTATGTAACAAACAAGCTATCTACAGGCTAAAGCTATGTATAGGATCTTCCATAAAGCCTTACCAGACTAATTAGAGGAGAAGTGATGATTGCTTTCTATCCTTTTCTCTGTAAACAAGAACATTCACTAAATCAATCAATTGATAAACATTTATTAAGTGCATACTACATGCCAGGCACTATGCTAAGCATTTGGGGTACAAAAAGAGGCAAAAGACAGCCATTGCTTTCAAGGAGCTTACCATCTAAAGGAAGAGACAACATCCAAACAATTATATATAAAGTAAGTTGCACATATAAAAATAATTAAAAGAGAGAAAGCTCTGGAATTAAGAGGAGTTAGGGAAGGTTTCCTATAGAAAATGGCATTTTAGTTGATACTTAAAGGAAGTCAGAGAGGTCAGTAGTCAGAGGGGGAAGGAGTTCCCCTTTTATTTACTGCTCTACCACATTCCCTTACTTTTTTATTTATTTTATTTTATTATTTTGATTTATCAACAATCACTTCGATATGCTTTTGAGTTTAAAATTTTTATATCCCTTCCTCCCCACCACCCTCCCCAAGACAGTGCACAATCTGATATAGGCTATACATATACATTCCTATTAAACATATTTTCACATTAGTGGTGTTGTAAGTAAGAATTAGAACCAATAGGAGGAACACCAGAAAGAGGAAACAAAACTCAATAGAAGAAAAAAAAATAGCAAATAGTATGTTTTGATCTGCCAGACCATACAAGTCTTTCCAGGTTTTTCTGAAGTCAGCCTGTTCATCATTTCTTATACCCTTACCTTTTTTTACAAAAATTCTGTTTTCTTTCTGTCTTTCTTTCTTTCTTTTTTTTTTGTTGTTGTTCCAGATCTATGTTCCACCCATGTAGGTATAGTATGTAAAAGCCCTCCACAAATAAAGATAGGTAATTTTTCCATTAGTTTTGGCTAAGAGCATAAAAAGTTAAGCTACTAGTCACACAGCCAGTATGTGTCAGAGGCAGAACTTGAGTTTATATGGCCTGGACTCCAAGGTTGTCTTTCTAGTAACTTTTTCTTGTTACTTCTATCTTTAGATAGATAGTTTAGATCTGCAAAGGATATTTGTTATTTATTTACACGTTTGTTTAGTTATCTTATCATCGCCATTATTAATCATGTGATTAATCTGTGTGTTTTTTTTTTTTTTTGTAGGGAGCTTTGTCTTTCTATCCCAAGCACCAAGTATAGTGCCTAGCGCATAGTAAGTAGTTGGCTGGTTGTTGTTCTTCATTCTCTTTTTTTTTTTCCTGGTGAGGCAATTGGGGTTAAGTGACTTGCCCAGAGTCACACAGCTAGGGAATGTTATGTGTCTGAGGTTGGATTTGAACTCAGGTCCCTCTGACTTCAGGGCAGGTGCTCTATCCACTGCACCACCCAGCTGCCTTCATTCTCAAAGAGGACCAAAATGACATCATTATGTTAGAGTCAAGTTACAGTGCATATGACTGTGGCAGATTAGAGCGAGAAATGCTGTACCACACACAGGTTGGGCACAAGTAGTCCACATGAACATTAGGGGTGAATTCTCTAAATTTCCATCTTATGTTTCTTTTGAGCTACTTCAATTCTGCTTTGCAGTAGATGTTTAATAAATGCTGCTTGTTAGACTGATTGAGGAAACTCCCTCAACCAAACCAGATCCTACAATTTATGATCTTAGAGAGTTGCCTGGGGGCATTAAAAGATTAAGTACGAATGGAAAAAAATATTGTGTTTATGTGCCAAGCTGTATACCATATGCTGGGCATACAAATACAAAAACAAAGACAGTCCTTGTCATTGTGATGATATTTTTTATTTTTCATTTCCTTTTACCAATTTTTATTATGCCATTCCTCCTGGAAGACTTTGGTTTAACTGAAGCCTGTTTTCTGTTAATTAATATTAACCACACATAGCTAAAATCTGACTCATGGAATGATAATAATAAGGGAAGACTTTTTGGCAATAAGAAGCCAAAGAGGAGTTTTGAGCTTCTCAAGGTGATTTGGTTATTTCTGAAGGGATTCTACTGCAGCTAACTCTGCAGGCATGTAAATCTCTCCTCTAACTTAGCTCATTGTGAACCCTCTAAGTGCAGTTTAACCTGTAACTTGACTTAGTTTATATGTAGAGTTTGTTTAACTAGATTTGTTTCCTTAAGGAATGTATGAGATTATGATTCTGTTTAATTAATTTTGTTGAACTTTTATGACATTATGGGATTATGAATTTGTTTTTTTTAACTTTTATACCTAAAAGAATGTATGAGACTGTAATATGTAAAAGAATTTATTTCTTTGTCTCTCTAGCATAATTATCTGTATAAAAACTTGTCAGAAACTCCAATCTGGGTTCAAAATGTTTTTTCTGAATTCTGAACCAGTGCTTAAACATAATAAGACTTAGGTTTTTACTTCTATAATTTCTGATAGATTTATTTTAGCATCAATAACCTACCACATAGACTCAAAGAGGAAATATTTCTCCCGTAACACCCTCAAGGAGTTGACATTCTAATAAGAGTAGATAAGACATACAGGGAATAGTATCCAGAGAAGGGTGTTTTGCTTTAAAAAGTCACCAGAATAGTGAGCAGAGGCATAGGGGAGCAGACTGCCATGGGAGAAGAATGATATAGCCTTTCCAGTAAACCAAGCAATATTGATTTGGTCATTCCCAGAAATATAAAACATGCTCTGGGAGAAGTGCAGAGGGTAAATACTGCAGGATATAGTCTCTGGTCTGGGCAGCAAAATGACTGGTGAGTAGATGTGCAGGGAATAAAGTAAAACATGGCTGGGAACACCTAGATCTGGGGAGCTGGGTATTCACCAATCAGGACAGCTGGGTCCAGTATGGGAGTTCTCCATATGAAAGAGTTAAGTTGTCCCAGGATCACAAAGCAAGTATGTGTCAGGGAAAGGACTTGATTTAAGGACTTCCTCACTCCCAGGCAACTCTCTCTACTACTCCTGTCTGCCCATTATTATGATTATTATGTTTTATGGATGAACTTTGTTTTTCATACCAGATCTTCCAATAAACACCACCACCTTCATGGCACCCTCCCTTATAGCAACAAAAAATACTTAAGCAAAATGATACAATACAGTAACCATGACTAACAGAGCATATACATTCTTTCTCCATAGTTTTCTGAGAGGAAGGAAACAAATAGTTGTTAAGCTCCTACTACGTGCCGACAGGCCCTCCTTGAAGTAATCCCCAGAGGTAAGTGCTATTAACTTCCCCATTTTACAATTGATGACACTAAAGCAGACAGAAGTAAATGTTTGATGCCATATCTGAACTCAAATTCTCCTATTTCTGGACCCAGTGTTTATCCACTGTGCCATTTAGAAGGATGGCCAGCATCAGCCAACTGGAGTCATTATTGATCACTGCATTTGATCTAAGTTCAGTTACTTTTATTATTGTCTTTATTTACATTCTTATCATTGTTATGCATGATGTTTTCCCTTCAATGTTTATTATTCTGTGACCTGTTATTTTTCCAAGGGACATGATGTTAGCTTGCTGTAGTCTCTAAAACAGCAGTTCTCAAAGTGTTGTTAGGGGACCCCTGATGATCCTTAGGACATTTTCAGAAGGTCTGGGAAGTAAGAACAATTTACATAATAATACTAAGGCCTTCTAATTTCTAATGTGGTAAATATTGATAGATATAACACACGGCAAAAGCTTTTTGGGAGGTCATAGGTCAATTTAATTAAAAAAAAAGAAAGAAGAAAACCGAATTACCAGTATCAAAAATGAAAAGGATGAATCTACCACAAATGAAGAGGAAATTAAAACAATAATTAAGCACTATTTTGCCCAACTGTATGCCAATAAATTTGACAATCTTAGTGAAACAGATGAATGTTTATAAAAAAATATAAATTGCTCAGATTAACAGAAGAGGAAGTAAAATACTTAAATAACCCCATCTCAGAAAAAGAAATTGAACAAGCCATCAATGAACTCTCAAGGAAAAAGTCTCCAGGGCCAGATGGATTTACAAGCGAATTCTATCAAACATTTAAAGAACAATTAATTCCAATACTATATAGACTATTTGGGAAAATAACTGAAGAAGGAGTCTTACCAAATTCTTTTTATGATACAAATATGGTGCTGATATCTAAACTGGGAAGAGTCAAAACAGAGAAAGAAAATTATAGACCAATTTCTCTAATGAATATAGATGTAAAATTTTTAAATAAAATATTAGCAAATAGATTACAGCAACTTATCACAAGAATAATACACTATGACCAGGTAGGATTTATACCAGGAATGCAGGCCTGGTTCAATATTAGGAAAACTATCAGCATAATTGATCATATCAGCAACAAAACTAACAGAAACAACACGATCATCTCAGTAGATGCAGAAAAAGCTTTTGACAAAATACAACACCCGTTCCTATTGAAAACACTAGAGAGCATAGGAATAAATGGAATCTTCCTTAAAATGATAAGTAGCATCTACCTAAAACGGTCAACAAGCATCATATGTAATGGGGATAAGCTAGAAGCATTTCCAATAAGATCAGGGGTGAAACAAGGGTGTCCATCATCACCACTGTTGTTCAATACAGTACTGGAAACGTTAGCTTTAACAATAAGAGAAGAAAAAGAAATTGAAGGTATTAGAATAGGCAAAGAAGAAACAAAGCTATCACTCTTTGTGGATGATATGATGATATACTTAGAGAATACAGTAAAAAACTACTTGAAATAATATACAATTTTAGTAAAGTTGCAGGCTAAAATGAACCCACATAAATCATCAGCATTTCTATATATTACCAACAAAGCCCAACAGCAAGAGATAGAAAGAGAAATTCCAGTTAAAGTTACTGTAGACATTATAAAATATTTAGGAGTCTACCTACCGAAACAAACCCAGCAACGATATGAACACAATTACAAAACACTTTTCACACAAATAAAGTCAGATCTAAATAATTGGGAAAACATCAGTGGGTCACAGGTAGGCTGAGCTAATATAATAAAAATTACAATTCTACCTAAGCTAATTTACTTATTCAGTGCCAAACCAATCAAACTACCAATAAATTATTTTGTAGAGCTAGAAAAAATAATAACAAGATTTATTTGGACTAACAGAAGGTCCAGAATATTAAGGGAACTAATGAAAAGAAATGCAGGAGAAGGTGGTCTAGCTGTTCCAGATCTTAAATTGTATTATAAAGCAGCAATTATCAAAACTACTTGGTATGGGCTAAGAAATAGAGTGGTGGATCAGTGGAATAGGTTAGGTATGCAAGACACAGTAGTCAATGTTTATAGTAATCTACTATTTGATAAACTCAAAGACTCCAGCTTCTGGAATAAGAACTCACTATTTGACAAAAACTGCTGGGAAAACTGGAAAAGAGTATGGCAGAAGCTCGGCATAGGCCAAAATCTCATACCATATACCAAAATAAAGTCAAAATGGGTTCATGATTTAAATATAAAGGCTGATACTATAAGCAAACTGGGAGAGTGAGGACTAGTTTACCTGTAAGATTTATAGAGAACAGAAGAATTTGTGACCAAACATGAGATAGAGAACATTATGAAATGCAAAATGGATCATTTTGATTACGTTAAATTGAAAAGTTTTTTTTTTTTGTTTTTAAACAATTGGGGTTAAGTGACTTACCCAAGGTCACACAGCTAGTAAGTGTCAAGTGTTTGGTCTGAGGCCGGATTTGAACTCAGGTCCTCCTGACTTCAGGGCCGGTGCTCTATCCACTGTGCCACCTAACTGCCCCAAATTGGAAAGTTTTTGTACAAACAAAGCCAGTGCAACCAAGATCAGAATGGAAGCAGAAAACTGGGAAAGAATTTTTATAACCAGTATCTCTGATAAGGGCCTAATTTCTAATATGGTAAATATTGATAGATATAACACACATGACCAAAGTTTTTTGGGACATCATAGATAATTTTTAAGATTATAAAGATTCCTGAGACCAAAAAGTTTGAGAATTGCTGCTCTAAAGCAATACTTCCCAAGATTTTGAATCATCCAGTGAAACCAGATCAAATTATTTTAGAAATATTTTTAAGGGAGTTACGCCTTAATAAAGTATGTCTTATTAACACCTTGGATAATATTTACAAAATTCAAAATTAATTTAAATATGCTAAATAGCTCACTTATTTAAGGATACACATTCAAATACTCCTTCACTAAAGTCCTATAAGGCAGCAAGGTGGCTCGGTGGAGAGTGCTGAACCTGGACTCAGGAAGACTCCTCTTCATGAGTTGAAATCTGGCTTAGACATCCACCAGCTGTGTGATCCTAGGCAAGTAACTTAACCTTTTTTGCCTCTATTTCTCATCTGTAAAATGAGCTGGATAAGGAAATGACAAACCGCTACAATATCCTTGCCAAGAAAACCCCAAATGGGGTGGGTCATGAAGAGTCAAATACGACTGAAAAAATCACTCACCACTATCACCAACAAAGTCCTATACCCATGCCATGTCATTGGAATAAAGGTAATCCTAGGCTCTGAAGGTGATGGTATGGGGTTTCAAACTCTTCTAGGTCCTAACACACCAGAAAGACTGAGTTTGGATACAATGCCTGAGAACCAGTTTAGCTACATTTGGACAAATTCATCCTCCAGGGGTTGGCCACAGACTATAATTTCTTTTGGTCAGAGCAACTCAGGAAATTGTTTATCATGGGGCATCTGAAATCTGTATTGGTCAAGGGCATACCCACATAGATAAAATGGCAGATTTATAATCCTTAAAATACTTAAAAAATCAAATGTGTGAAAACCATGATCTCTGTCCTCTGGCATTCCATCAGCAAATATTTTGAAGCTAAAGTGGATAAGGGTCTATAGTACAGTTGGAGAGACAGATTTAGAAACCCCAATAGAACAAGAAATTCGAGTTAAAAATACATGCAGTCACATTTGTTCGTTTCAGATAATTCCCCAGTAAGTTAATGGCAAACTTTCTTTGGCATTAAGATAGTCAGTTTGATCTTTTTCCAAAATTCCTTTAGGGCATTGTCTATTCCATCAACTAGAACTACTTCAGTATTGTAAAGATTCAAGGAAATAGTTTGATCATTTTAATACCTTTCCTGCCCCACTCTCAAACAATAATTTATCTTTACTAGTTATGTGACCCTGGGGAATCCATCTACCTCAGTTTCCTCATCTGTAAAATGAGGATAGTAATAGTACTTATCTCCCAAGGCTGTTGTGAGAATCAAATGAGATGATGTTATTATTATTATTATTTTTTCTTGTGGTGAGGTGGTTGGGGTTAAGTGACTTGCCTAGAGTCACATAGCTAGCAAGTGTTATGTGTCTGAGGCGGGATTTGAACTCAGGACCTCCTGACTCCAGGGTCAGTGCTATATCCTCTGCGCCACCTAGTTGCCTCTGAGATAATATTTTTTAAAAGCACTTAGCACAGTTCCTGGCACATAGTAGGTGATATATAAAATGCTATTATTATTATTATTTTTCAAACAATGGTTCAGTGTTTGCAAAGTGCTTTATACACCTTATCTCATTTGACCTTCATAACAAGGTTGTGTTGTAAAGTATGTACTACAAGTATTACTATCTATCTTTTCTAGAAGAGGAAACTCAGCCTGGAGAAAAGAAATGAAGTAACGAACCCAGGATCACATGGCTAATGAGTGTCAGAGTTGACACTGAACCCAGGTTCTCCTGGTTCTATGTATAGCACTCTATCTACCACACTGTGTCCCCTGAAAGGAATGGGGGGAAGAAACTTTCAAAAATATTTTTTTGGTCTGAATTATCTAGATCAGGGGTGGGGAACCTAGGACCTTGAGGCCACATGTGACCCTCTAGGGCCTTAAATGTGGCACTTTGCCTGAATCTTGTGAGTTTGGATCCAGTCAAAGTGCCACACTTGAGGACCTAGGTTATATGTGGCCTCGAGGCAGCAGGTTCCCCACTCCTGATCTAGAAAATAACATCAACAATCCCCTTTACTGTAGCATTGTATGTTAAATTTTAGTCATTCTTAATATGCATTTTACACACACAAATCTATTTGCTGTTAATGTTTCTCCTCTTTGATAATCGTTGGCACATGTTGTTACAGAGAAAACATCAATTACTCGCTTTAAAAAATTTATTTCCCACATTACCTAGAAATCTTGGCATTGGATGGAAGGGTTCCCTGGCAGTGTGGGGTTTGGTTTAAGAATCAGGTTTCTAGGGGCAACTAGGTGGTGCAGTGGATAGAGCACTGGCCCTGAAGTCAGGAGGACCTGAGTTCAAATCTGCCCTCAGACCAAACACTTGACGCTTACTAGCTGTGTAACCCTGGGCAAGTCACTTAACCACAATTGCCTTAAAAAAAAAAAGAATCATGTTTCTAAAATCATAGCTATTTAGTTACAGTTCTCTCTCTGTACATGCTTGTGTTTCCATAAGACTTTATTTAAAAATGTAATCACCATTCTCAGCTCAGGGACCTTACAAAAGCAAATAGCAGGCTGGATTTGATCCATGGAGCCCTAAGTAGTAGTAGTAATGGTAGTTTGCCAAAGCCTGGTATAGGGGAAGCCACCAGTGATGAAATTCCCTCTAGCAATGCAGATCAGAACTATTCTCTAACATAGTTTTACAGAGTTCCTTGATTAATATTATAGCATTTAATTAAATATAATGAAACAAAATATTACAGGAATACTCATGGAATTGATGTATCAATACCATTCTTTTTTCTCACTGTAATAAGCATTTAACAGAATTAGATAAAAGGTAATATATATGAAGTATTACTCAGTGTGTAATATAGTCACAGGCTGTCATTCCGTTGGATACATGGACTCAGTTTCTCTGAAAAGCAGAAAAGTTTTCTGCAGTGAATTAAACAATTTCCAAATTATCTCTCTTCTCCCTTCCTATTGAGAAAGCAAGAAAAATAAAACTTGCTATAAATATATATAGCTGAGCAAAACAAATTTTCTAATTAGCCATATTGAGAAAAAATATGCTTCAATCTGCACTTTCCTATCTGTAGTGGATAGCATTTTTCGTCATGAATCTTCTGAAATTGTGGTTGGTCACTGTGTTGATCAGAGTTCTTACGGCTTTCAAATGTTGTTTGTCTTTACAATATTGTTGTTATAACATAAATTCTTCTCTGGGTTCTGCTCACTTCACTTTGTATCAGTTTATACAGGTCTTTCCAGGTTTCTCTGAAACCATCCCTTTCATTAATTTTTATAGTATGAGTATTCCATCACACTCATATATCACAAATTGTTCAGTCATTTACCAATTTTTAGGCATTTTTTCAGTTTTCAATTCTTTGCCAATATGAAAAGAACTGTTATAAAAATTTTTTTCCTCTTTTTTTTGATCTTTTTGGAGTATAGACATAGTAGCAATATCACTGAACAAAAGGGTATTCACAGTTTAATTGTTTTGGGGGCATAATTCCAAATTGCATTTCAGAATGCCTGGCCCAGTTCATAGCTCCACTAACAATGCATTAATGTGCCTGTTTTTTTCCACAGAATTTATCATTTTCCTTTTTCAACAGTACTATTCTTAATCCTTCATAAACCAGACTGTTCCAACTCCCTACTAACTCTTTGCCTACTCTCCTCCACTACCCCCTTCTTTTTTGCCTTCCTTTCATGTTTTGTCTTCCTCTTTTAGAATGTAAGGTAATTAGTAGTAGGCACTGTTATTATATTTGTATTCCCAGTGCTTGGCCCTTATTAAGTGCTTTAAAAATGCTCTGTCTTTTAAAGATACTATTTTATATTTTAAACAGTTCATGTTTCACTATTTGCCACATAAGAACACTACTTTAGTTCATTATCTCCTATTTTCTGCAAATAGTATAATAAAATTATAGGTGCATATGTAACTTGGTATTGAAATGTTCCCCACAAGCAGAAAATAAACTAGGGAGGCAAGGGACCCTGCTTCTGGGCAGGTATGATGAAACATAATGGAATGTACCCACCCTCCTCTCCCATTCAGAGCATTCACAAACATTCCCTCACTGAGGTCTCATATCTTAGGCTTTCTTGATCTTTGCCTTCCTTCTTTTCTCCTTCCAATACCAGTATTGAGGCCATCCTTGTGGCCTACTGCATAACAACCCCCTTCCCCACAGGTTGATTTACTTTTTCAAAAATTTTATTTCTTCCATACCTGCCTCCTTAATAACTCCTAATCTTTTCCCTTTTGGTCATTGAGGCCATCCCTAAAATCTATTAGAGACTGGCCAATGTAAGTGCTGTCCTCAGAGCATGTGCAGGGTGCTCTACCTGTTGCCAACAGGGTGGTAGAGGCTAGAAAGGTGTGATGATGTATAATGGAAGGACCCTGATCCCTAAATCAGAGCATAGGCAAGTATCTTGACTCTTTCTGATTTGTTTTCCTCAGGGAGACAGGAGCCTTTTGAGTTGGCCACTGAATCAGAACCGAGGCAGACAAAAGACTCCCCATGAGGGTGACTTGTCTCTCTTTCCTGTCTGGCTGGTTCAAGCATGGAAGACTGAAAAGTCTCTAGGGAGGAGCAGACTTTGAACTCTCTGTGAATATGGGCCTCTATTCTTTTCCTCTTTGCATTAGCTCTTTCTTGCTCTTAAGTTAAAGAGTATTAGAGATAGCTATGAACTTGTGAGTTTGAAAGGTCAAAGGATACCCTTGGGTCCAGGAGTTGGAATCCATGTAGGAGTTTGCTACCAGTCAAACAAGGTAAGGGGATGGTACATCAATGAGGAGTAGAAACCAGCATCACAATGACAAGAACTGAATGAGGTGAGAACAAACTGTCCAGCTTCTTTCACATTTGGAAATGAACTTGGTGGCATGATACCTAATCCTGTTAGGCATGTCCAGGAACTGTGTCTCTCTGTCCCAGAATGCTCAATAGCATATAGGCTTTGCCCAAGTTCTAGTTACCTGAGTTTAGCCTATTTGGTAGGTTCAAAATTATTGCTATTCCCAAATAATCACTGAGACAACCAGATGCTGTATTTGCAGTTTTCTCCCACACCATGCTGGCAGTAGGGACAAGGAAGTCATTGGAATTGATTGAATAGGGAGTAGTGTCCAGATTTCAATTTAGGAAAATTACTTTGGCAGCAATTTGAATGTTGGCCTGGAACAATGAGAGACTTGTGGAAGGCCAATTAGTAGGCTGTTGCAATAATCTAAGTGAGAGATTATGAGGGCCAGAACTAAGGGAGGTAGCTGTGTAATTGCAGAGAAGGAGTCAGATTATAGAGTTGTGGTAAAGGTAGAAACAGAATGATCTGGCAAGTGATGGGATATATGGGGTGAGGGAAAGTGAAGGATCCAGCATAGTGCTGAAGTTATGAACGTGGGACACTGGAATGGAAGTGATTATAGCCAGAGTAGGAGTGATGGCATCAAAGAATGCTGAGAGATAGAGGAATTAGAGGTTCTGGTGTAGTTTTAGAAGGGGTGAGGCATAGGGAGAGATGGGAAGATAAACATTATAATCAGGAGAAATTCAGAGTTCTTGAACATAGAAGCAAAACAATCATGGGTGATATCAAAGTCAAAGATATGACTTATGTGTAGCTGAGGTGGAAAGGAGGGTATTTCAGAGAACATCATCATGAATGTAGAAATCTACTAGAATGAAGAAAGAAATTAGAGTAGTGAGGATAAGTGTGGAGTTAGAGTAGAGAGGAAGAGTGTGAGCCTGACAGTGAACTCACTGAGAAAGGATGGAGAATATACTGGGTATAGGAAAGTAACATCTATCAGAATTTGGATTGAGTGACAAATTTGGATTGAATTAACCTCAAAGGAGAAGTTTCTTAGTAATGGTTGTAAAAGAAATGGTCCTGAAAGAGCAAGAAGTATTCTAATTCCACCAGTACAATCAGTTGGTCAAAGGATACCAGTGAAAATGCAACCTGTACTTGGAAGTGTGGCAAGGGAGGCATTGTCATTAGGAGGAAGTCAGACAGATTTTGTGAGGTTCAAATGAAATAATGGATGTAAAGTACTTTGAATACATATATATGTGAGTTATCATCATCATTATCATCATCATCATCATCATCATCATTACTCTGGCCTGGTGATGACTTAATTTCAGAGCCTTCTCATGCACCCCTTGCTGAACTCAATCAATGTTTACTGAGCAATACAGGGGTGTGCTGATAAATGTTTAATAAATTAACTCAAGGTTAAAAAACTTATGCATACTTAAATTTAATCTTTATTATTAACACTTTCCTAAGTCTAGAAATCAGCAAAACAATAAATCAAACCCTAATTTGTTATAATTGTGGATTTCTGAGGTGTAAATGCTCACACTGTAAATTTAGCAATAAGCTCTAGTAAGCTGGTGAGAGATGGCTCCAACAGACCCAGGAGCCAGGTTTCAGGGGAGTGCTAAAGGTGGAAAGAGTGTGAAACTAAGAGGTTTAAGATGAAAGATATTTGCCTATGGAGCAGACATTGCAGGGGTTATTGTGGAAGGGGTGGGCAGATCTGGAGTGGGTCATTATATCAAGATATGCTTTAAGTGAATGAGTGGGTATATAGCTGAGATTGAGGAAGGTGGTTTGTTCTTCAGCTGCTAAGGTTTGGGTAGAATAAAAGAGTGTGTATGGGAGTATGCTAACTATTGGGGAATGAACCCAGGCAGAAGAACAGTAAAGTCCACTGATGAAGGCAGGTGATTAGACAATATTATTTTTGCTCTTATTCTCTCTCCATATCCCTGCAAACTTTGCATTATAAACTTTAAGAGAGCAGGGCTTTTGTCATTTTTAAAATCTCTGTATCTCCTGCACCTAGTGTGGTGCCTTACATATAGTAAGCATTTAATAAGCATTATTGAATTGAACTTAATGGAAACATATATATATATATATATATATATATGTTATACACACACACATACACACACACACACACACATTTTTAACAGTGTCTTCTGGAAAATATACCAATGGAATTAAATGACTGGGAAGGTTGAGAAGATAGTTTTATGAAGGTAATGGCAATATCCTCCTGACCCAGTTTCTTTACTGTATGATTTACTTTCTGAACAGGAATATTTCCTATCTGAGCCTGGCTATAATACCCTGTGAATAATGAGGACTTCTGTTGCATGATTGACTGTTCCAAAAGATATCTATGACTTTTACCTGAAATCAAACAGAGGTAAGGGAATATGTCTGGGTACATCTACAATAGGTCAGCCTTATTATAACTATTTCCTTCCTCCTTTCATAGCAAATTTCTCTGACCATGCAAGAGAATTGCAAATGTTTTATAATAGATCTTATTGTTACAATCATCAAGCATCTTTGTACTACTATAATGGAATGTAAGTATAAAGAACCTTATTGCTTTGATTTTACTGTTCTAAATTTGTGACCATTACTTTTCTCAACTTCCTAATCTAGGTTTATAGGAAAAATTAGTTCTTAGGCTTGCCATCTTCTTGCTTATTTGTTTAATAGTTATATATTCATGTGTTAGGTCTATACAGTATTACATCTTTTCTGAATGATATGAGGATAATATATCTTCAAAGGAATGGTGGAATAAAGATACGATGTGATAAAAATGTAAAGGTTTTAGCATTTAAAATTTTATTTATTTTATTTTGAGCTTAAGAAATAAAACAAACATTTCTATAATATAGTAGAATAGAAAAAGTTGATTGTATATGAAACAGCAAATCTATTATGTATAACTTGCTATTCTTTTTAAATATGTAATAAAGCTATCATGTAACTTTTTTCTTCTTCCCCCCCACCTCCCCTGCTCTAGAAATGGCTATCATTAGGCACAAATATGTGTGTGTGTGTATTTGTGTGTGTGTGTGTACATATATATAAAACCATTATATACATACTTATATTTATCAGTTCTTTCCCTGGATGCAGATAGCATCTTCTTTCATATGTCCTTTCTGGTTAATTTGGGCATTTATAAGAGTTAAAATGAATTACTCACTCAAAATTGTTCTTAAAACAATCTTGTTGTTACTATATACAATATTCTTTTGGTTCTGCTCATTTTGCACTTCATTATTTCATGCAAGTCTATCCATGTTTTTCTAAGATCATTGAGCTCATCATTTCAGTAGAATATAGTAGTATATCATCATAATCATATACCACAACTTGTTCAGTCATTCCCCAATTGATGGCCATCCTCCAAATTTCCAGTTCTTTGTTGGGAAAACTGAAAAGCAGTCTAGCAGAAATTGGGCATAGACCAATATCTTACACCATTTTTCAAGGTGAGATCAAAATGGATACATGACCTAGATATAAAGAGAGAGATTACAAGAAAATTTGAACAATATTACCTATCAGACTTATTGATAGGTGAACAATTGATAGGTGTTGTTTATGAATAAACAACAGATAGAGAGCAGTGTGAGGTATAAAATGGATAATTTTGATTACATTAAATTAAAATGTTTTGTACAAATAAAACAAATGTAGCCAAGATCAGAAGGAAAGCAGAAAACTAGGAGAAAAGTTTTAATTTTTAATGGATTAATTAACTTCACATTGGAAAAAGCATCAAGATTAGACCATTTCCACTTGAGAACTAGGATATATGTGATTGACTTTCAAATGTTTCCACTGCATAAAGAAATATACTTCAAGGATTCATCATAACTGTAATTATATTAGTAGCTTCCCAATACCTGTGGAAATGCCTGTCAGAAAACTTATATGAACATATCCAGAAAAGAAAATGATAGGATGTACAAGAATATGGTCTGATATGCTCATATCTAATCTTCAACCAAAGGGGACACTGTGATAAGAGAATTTCTGACTCAGGCTTCTTTCCACCATTATGCTAAGAAAAACTGCCCCAGCCTCTAACTTGAGCTTTCTAATGCTGTTTCCATGAAGCAAGCGGGTCATACTTATTGCTGACGTCTGCAAAATCAAGCTTGGGACATAAACTTCAGTTCTACATTTGACCAGCTTATCTTCCTCGTCTGTTGTTTGCTTCCTGGTACATAAAATCTTATCTTTCCCTCCTCCTTTCTATAAAATTCCATTGTCCCCATCCTGCTTATGTATTCAAATATAAGTTTACTGGAACTGAAGCTCTGGGATCACTGAATGATTGGTAATTTTTTAGTATACCCTGCACTTGGAGCACATGCTATACTGCAGTTACACTATCTCTGCATCATTGATTCAGTGATTGATAGCAGTACCTAACTGATGGACTCTTGGATAATTTTCATCTCACCAAGATTACTTATTGTGTTAGAGATTCATAGTATACTAGGCCTGGCAGGAATATTAGCGATCACATAGTCCAAAGGAGTGAGAAAACCAGGTTAAAGATGTTACAAGAAAGGTGTTACAAGAAAGGTGAAGCTTAGGCAAGGCCTTGGTCACCTTGGACATGGGGGCCATGATGCCATTTTGTGAAGGAGCAGGATTATATGATTCCTCTAAGGACAAGGCAGCTGTTCCTACTCATCTGGGCTCCTCATGCCAACCTTAGAATTCACCTTAACTATGTGATCCTTAATCTGCCCCTAAATGACAAATTGATTCTTTTACCTTAGGGCAAGATGATTGCTTTTGCTAGTTAATAGTATTAAGTCACCTACTCACCTCAGAGGAATCCATGTCTGCGACAAATTAGTATCATCATGGGAAGGAGGAGGGCTCTTTAGTCTGGAATTTCTTTGGATTCAGTCTCAAGAAAAACACTTAATAATGATGGACTACTTTTGGACCTAATTCAGCTAAGCCACTCTGGCCCTTCTTTTTTTCTTTCCCTTGGTAGAATTGTACAAGCTTGAGGTTCCTGCCCTTCAAGGCTGTAGCTTATTTTGGAGAAATAGCTCAGGTCCTTTTCAATTGGTAGGACTTTTTTCCTCCAGGACTATTTAGTTAACTCCCTCCCAGAAGTGTTGGAGGACTAAGCCATGGTACTGTTGGGAAGTGCCTTTCTTTCTAACAGCATGGAGGAGGAGCCAACTTGACTGCATGTTTGGCTACAAATCCAGAATATATTTTTAGGTGTATTTCATTTCATGAATCATTAAAATGATTAAAATAATTTTCCTTTAAAGGGATATCAGATATGAAATTATCTAAATGACACTGGTTTTTTGTTTTTCCTTCTAGTGACTATTAAATGATCAGATGAACAGACTTCATTTTGATAAACATCACAAGCTCAGAAACCCTGAAAATTGCAGCCTTCACTAACAGTGGGAAAGTGGAATAACTTTTCTCATATTATCTCACCCAAGATTTAGCTTCAGTTCTAGGGGATCATTTTGCCCAGGAAAAAGGTAAGTCATTGTCAGAATTAATTCTGTACCTGTGCTGAAGAATTATATTGAAAATGAAGGAGTCTAACTTGCTAGGGAGGATTCTACCCAAATTAAGAAAACTAAGCAGAATATACATTTGTCTGATGAATAAGATGGAGATTTAAAAAGAAAAAAAGGTTAACCCCCACTCCCCTCCCCACACTTCTTGATGCACATTAGAATAGATTCATTACTTTATCCCTTCCCTTTACAATTGTCAATAAAATGCCCCTGTGCTATTTCCTTAGTAAGCAATTTAATTGGAATAGATAAAAGGTAATAAAAGAAAAATAGTAATTCATATGTAAACATAATTTGTATATTATATTTTATCCCCAGATAGAGTCTGTCTTCCCAAAGACCGAAACCCTCGTCATGCAGCAATCTATTTTTCTCATAGCTACCATCCAGCAGGAAAAAAGTTAACTCAAAGCATCAATATATTATATTTAGACTTCCCATTTCCCAGTGGCAAGGATGATATAAAGTCATATAAAGTTTACATTCTAGTTTAAAATGTAGAAACTTCAGTGATTCTATTGGTCACAGGTACATGGACAAAAAGGACGGCAGGCTATGAACAAAGTTCGGTGAAAATAGCACCAACTTTGTAGTCAGAGGAATCTGGAGCCCAAAGAATGCTAATCCTCAGGGTTGCAATTTCACTGTGCTTTGGTCTCTGTAGCTCTGATACTCGGCACTTAAAACAAGGCGATGATAAATCGCCACAGAAGCTAAGACCCACAGGGTACTGTCTGAATGTCATAAATCTAACCCTGACAATTGCAAGAGGACAAACTTGATTGGTATCATTGTGTCCCTCTGAAGTCTCTCTTTACCTCTTAATCGTTAACCTTTTTTAATCTCTTTTTAAAAATTGTAATTAATTTATTTTTAGTTTTCAACAATCACTTCCATAAGCTTTTGATTTTAAAATTTTCTTCCCCTCCCTCTCCATCTCACTCCCCAAGATGGCATGCAATCTGATATAGGCTTTACATATACATTTCTATTAAACATATTTTCACATTAGTTATGTTGTAAGGAAAAATTAGAACCAATAAAAGGAACCACAAGAAGGAAGAAACAAGACAAAACAGAAGAAAAAAAAGAGTAAATAGTATGCTTCAATCTGCATTCAAACTCTATAGTTCTTTCTCTGGATGCGGATAGCATTTTCCATCATGAGACTTTTGGAAATGTCTTAGATCCTTGTATTGCTGAGAAGGGCTAAGTCTATCAAAGTTAGTCATTACACGATGTGGCTGATATTGTGTACAACATTCTCGTGGTTCTGCTCACTTCACTCACCATCAGTCCATACGAGTCTTTCCAGGTTTTTCTGAAGTTAGCCTGTTCTTCATTTCTTATAGCACAATAGTATTCCATCACATTCATATACCATGACTTGTTCAGCCGTTCCCCAATTGATAGACATCCCCTCAATTTCCAATTCTTTGCCACCACAGAAATAGCTGCTGTAAATATTTTTGGATAAGTGAGTCCTTTTCCCATTTGTATGATCTCTCTGGGATACAGCCCTAAAATCTTTTAATCTCTTAACAGTTGGAAGACTTATGCTTGGGCATTCTCTGTCACACTGCCTGAAGTTCCTTTAATCCATTTATGGCAAGCAGACTTCACCCGTTGCCTTATTTGGAAGTGAGGCCATCCCCTCTCTCTCTAATTTATACTTTTACATACACAGCATAGCCTAGTATCATTGGTCTTAGAGTCTGATAACAGGGGTTTGAATTCTGGATTTGCATTTTACTCACCATATGACCTAAGGCAAGTCATTTAAACTTCTCCGAATTTCACTTTTGCCAAATATAAACTGGGAACAGTAATAATACCTGCCAATTTATTTCAAAACCTATTCAAATGACTCCAAATTAGTCATCATCACCATCTCAATCATCTTTATTTTCTTTAATCCACCTCTTGCATCCAATGTAATTTAAAGCAATCACTTTTTATTGTTCCTTAGATTTGTGTCAGTCTCAGCATATTCTAGGCTTTAGGGTTCCTGATACAATTTTTATCAGACCATTGGTACTTTTAAAAACATTCTACTCAGCTACTTATCCATGCTTCTTTCTTCCACACACATCTAAACAAACTGAGTGTGTACGTACATTTCTGTAATCCACGTTGGTCTTCTTAGGCAGCTCTTTTTTTTTTTCTTCTATCCATTCCTGTTTAGGTCTTAAGAAACTCGTATTTGGGGGGGCAGCTAGGTGGTGCAGTGGATAGAGCACCAGCCCTGGATTCAGGAGGACCTGAGTTCAAATCCAGCCTCAGACACATAACACTTACTAGCTGTGTGACCCTGGGCAAGTCACTTAACCCCATTGCCTAACCAAAAAAAAAAAAAAAAAAAGAAGTTCATATTTGGGTCAATTTCTCCTGCAAAATATTAGGATATTAGATCCGATCTTTCGTTTTGCTGAATCCTTTGAAATATCCTTTCCCCTCTTTTAGGGTAGATGACAGATTATGTCTGGCTTTGCTCTCTTTTTCTATCATGCTTCTAAGGAACACTTGCTCCTGAGGTTTCTATTGTTTCTACTTCAGTAAACAGGTCCTCCTAATTGGCAAGAATTGCATCTAAAATAGCTCTTTCCCTTGTCATTTCCTCTGTTTTTTGAAGGCAAATCACAAATTTATCAATTTTTCTGCTCTTAGCGGAGGGATTTATAGATAATTGAAGTTCCCTTTTACTACAATATCAGGCTTTGAAGCCAGATTCGTGACCTGCTCCTCACATTCCTTATCTAATCACTTCTTTAGTCTAGTTTTATAGGAGAATATTATAATAATATTATGTCTGTTTGTACCTCCATTGGCTCTCAAATGCTCAATCATCCATGTGGGTATATCTTCTTAATATATACTGATATTCCATCTCACTCCTTTTAACTTTTTCTTTGAATAAAACTGGTACCCTCTCACAAAATCTCAGTGATGCCTTTAAGTTCAAATTTCATTGGATTATAATCTTGATTTCACTTTTTTCATACCTGTACATTGTGTAATTGTATATAGCAATCTGAAGCTGTGGGTTATATTGCTAGGTCTCTTTTTAAATGTAGTATTCTGTGAATGACTGTTTTTTTCATTTCTTACGCTTTTCCTTTTGTTATAAGTGATACTGTCTGCAGTGGACTATTTGTGCCCAACCTGTGTTAGAGTGTTCAGAGCTCTTATTGGTCTGATCAGCCATAGTCAGACACACTGAAACTTGACTCTAGCCTAGTGATGTCATTTTGGTCTTCTTTGAGAATGAAGGACAACAATCACTGTCTGTAGTACCAGACTTATTAGATTTATGTGTTTAACCTCCCTTTTCCGTTTTGATTAGATGCTTGAGGCTCCAGGCAAATGGACTTTTACTGGTTTTTGTTAGGTTCACGCCAACCCTACAAAGAGCCTATAATTCCCAGAAACATTTGATGTCACTGTGGAGCTAGGAATCTGTGTTCTTCTCCCTTTCTTTCCCAATGAGAAGTGAGATAGGGCCAAAATCTTCATGGGCCTCTACCTCCACCTCCTTGACTGGCTCTGAAATGGTATGAACCCCTACAGTCCCTCCTCATTCTCCACTCCCTTCATGGAATTTTGGTGAAGGAGAAATGACCGGGCTCAGGAACCTACTGCCATACTCCCCTAGTGAGCTATACTATATGGTAATAATGGACATTTAGGACTCTTTAGTCATTAGGAAAGTCATTAGCCAAGTCTATGAGGAATTACCTCTTTAGCTGAGGATAGTGTTACATGGTCTGGTTGACCACCAAGCTGGGATGTGAGACTGCAGCCTATATATTCTGTGAAATATAAAGCTCAGAGCTGCAATCTCTCACTCTGCAAAGGTGTTCAGGGTCATACTCTGAGCATGACTTAAAGTAAATCAGCATAAAAGTGAGGATCAATTCCGTGTCTAAAGGAATCAAAAACACAAATGTCATTTGATACACTGAGGGGGTAGTTTAAAAGGGAAATAGGTCACTTTGGGTTTAAATCCTTTCCTTTTAGGTGGGTGGGTGGGGAGAGAAGGCAGAGACAGTAAGAGGAGACAGAAGATGGCTCCTTAGCCATATGGGTTCAAAGCCTAAGCAGGGTAGTGGTGATCCACTGCCGGGCTTGTCTTTAATGTGTGGTTTCTGCTGTTGCATGTGCTTGTGGCAAACTCTGGGAGGACTCAAGTGCTTTCCACTCACATGTGCTGCCACCTCTCAGATCTGCTTCCTCACCATCTTGTCTGTTTCTTTTCCTTTACTGCTGCTTTTGCTGCTAAACCTAGTATCCCTTTCTTTCCATATTTTTGTAGGTTTGTCACCAATTCTACCCCTGTTCACATTTCATAATCATTCTTTAAGGCCTTGAATTACATTTCTTAAAATCCTCATGGAAAAAAGGAGAATCCATATCTTTACCAAGAACGCTGTTACATTCTTCCATGAGCTTTGCAATTTTGCAATCCCTTGCAGGTATAATCACTTGTTTATAGTACACTTGATCTATGGAATAATATCAAATACATATCAAAACAAAACAGAGTAAAAATGATTAGGCCATTAACCTAAGTAAGCATATTGGGGTGCCATGAATAACAAATATACATCAATAATACATGTAACAGATAAAGCATGAGATAAAGTATCAGGTCCTCCTGGCTTTAGGTCCAGTGATCTATCCACTGTGCCACAGAGACTCTACAAAACTGGTACTTGTCAGTTAAAAATTTCAGGCCATTTTCCTCCTGCCAATTGAACACTTTCATTAGTCTTTCATCATGGTATTCCCCAAAGGACTCTTCTTTTTCATTTTCCCAAAGACAGTGTGTCATTAAAATATATTGCACTTGCAAGCAGTTTATATCTCCAGCTAAATTCACCATCAGTCTTTGGAACACTTTCCAAAGGTATCCCTGAGATATGTCATGAATTTTCTATGACCACCCACTTTGGGTATATGTTCAAACAGTTAAAATCCATATGGACAGATGGAAGCAGTCTTCTTTTCTCCCTCTTTTATAGGAATTTGGTAATATCTACTATACAAGTCCAGTACGGAAACCCCGAGCTAACTACCCGGTAATTCAAGGCATATTGGACTCTTGGGTTAATGTGCTGCTCTGCTATGCTGTTGTTTAAGGTTTGGTAATTATGTATTCATAACTTTCCATTTTTCTTCAGTATCACTACTCTGGACAATGTATTTGGATTACTGGACTCTGTGCTAGTGCCATTGACCAACAGGTTCTTTGAAGCCATCCAACACAGAGGAATTTTTCTGAATCTTTCTTGAAATGTCCGAGAGTCAGTGAGCTGGATATTGTAAACTACTCCTTAGGAACATCCTATGTTCCACTCATATGGTAAAAACATTCCTGTCCTCTTGCTAAATTTCTGACTCAGCAGTTCCTTCCATCCCTCTGGTATTGGAGGTTATCAAAGTCAAGTTTCTCTGGTTCTACTTCTGAAGAGCCAGGGTTCTTAGAGTGCTACTTTTTTTCTATATGTTTTGGTATAAGCTTCATGGAAAGTAAAAATATCTAGATACTGAGTCCTAGATTGTTGTTGCCAGTATTTTGTTAGTATCTTGAAGAAACTGGATTTTTTTCAATTAAAAATGATGCTCCATTGACACATATTGGGTCTGGACACACCAAAGCTAGAATGCCCATTATTTTGTGTACACTAGCATTATTTTCAGGAGATTTCAAAGTCACTTCAATGTATCCCAAGTACAGCTAGTTTTTTTCAGTCCTCCAAAACCAAAGCATTCAAGAGGCTATGTAGATTTTGCCTTCAAATGTTTATTAAATAATGATTGGAACATGATGGTCATTTGTAGTCTACATTCTCAATTTTCACAGCCACCTCAACACAATGTATTATGGGAGAGACCCATTAGGTATTATTGATAAGGTCATAGTCATAGCTTGTGGGGGCCAGGTTGAGCACTTTTCTGGCCCCACTTCTTTTTCTTGAAATTGGGTCTGTGTCCAATAGCTTCTCCTCTCAAATTACATTTCCCTCTCAAGTGTATGCAATCTATATGTGACTATATTCACTAAAGTTGTAGCAGGAGGTGGCTCTGACTTTCTGGTTTTCTGCCAATGACAGGGTTTGTGTACCAGTCTGTCATTGCTTTGTACTAATGTTTTTAGAAGTCCATTGCTGTCCATGGTATTTACTCCAGAACTTTTGGGATTCTTTGTCAGGCTCTACATTCTTTTTGGGGGGGGGTAGGCAATGGGGTTAAGTGACTGCCCAGGGTCACACAGCTAGTGTCAAGTGTCTGAGGCCAGATTTGAACTCAGGTCCTCCTGACTCAAGGGCCAGTGCTCTATCCACTGTGCCATCTAGTTGCCCCCATAGGCTCTATATTCTTAGTGTGATTGTGTTTTTAGTGTTGCCTTATATTCTTAGATCGTGTTTTGGGGTGTTTCTGGAGCATTTATATATGGAGCTTCATAGTAAGAATCCTTCTGAACATCATTGGGTCTGTATTCTAATTAGGGCACTGAGTCTATCAATTTTTCCAAAAAAAATAGATTCCATGTAAGATATCAGCTTTGCAATTGTGTTCTTGTTAGTTCTCTTTATCAAGCTCTTGTACACTCTATTCAACCTTACTTCAATTGCTCCCCAGGCCTCACCTCTCTCAACAATTGTGATAGATTTGTTTTCATGTGAATTATAAACTTAGTTGTTTTCTCTCCTCCATGCTGAGATGCTCAAATATAGAGTATGCCCCAACACACTTTTCATGTTTCTGCAAACAAGTTGTCAACATGTCATATCTAGTTTATCATCCATTAGACCCTTCCCCAACGTCTCTAAGTATTTTTATTAATGCTCTCCAGCAGCCTTTCCCTCTTCTTTGTCAGAAGTCTTCCAACTCCATAATGCCACTGAAACCTATGTAATTCAAGTTTTCCCTAGTTGTTTCCTAGAAAAGTGTGAGTCCTCTCTTGAGAAGCTTCCTAATTTGGCCTAATAGTGATTCTTTGCTATTATATATGTTTGTATGTCTATCTGTATACATAAAATTTCTTACATAAGTGCACACATATCTATCTATATATGCACAATTATTTATGTGTACAGCTAGGTATACATACATATATGTATGTGTGTGCATGTAGGTATAACCTCCATGCCAACCTTCAGGTGATACTTTGCTTTCCTGCTTCATTCGGTGGACCTATCTCTCCTCTCAAGTTCAGGTGAGATATTTTTGTGTGACTCAGGGATTTGTATGATTACATACAGGAGGGTTACTAAACTTACCCTTATGACCTTTTCTATGAGTTAAGTGATTCATCTTCCATGAATACAGAAAGTTTAAGTTTGGACCGTCTCCCCAGTGCCACAATATATATAGAGAGTCAACATCTTTAGAGAAGCGGAAGGGAAGGAAATAAGCACCTAGGAAGAGATAGAAAGAGAAATTCCATTTAAAACAACTGCTGACAGTACAAAATACTTGAGAGTCTATCTGCTACCACATACTCAGGTATCATATTGAACACGATTACAAAATGTTTCACACAAATAAAGACAGATCTAAATAATTGGAGAAATACTAATTGCTCATGAATAAACTGAGCCAACATATTAAAATCTACAATTCTCCCTAAATTAATTTACTTATTCAGTTCCATACCAATCAAATGACCAAATAATTATTTTATAGAGTTAGAAAAAATAATTACAGAATTCATCTAGAAGAGCAAAAGGTCAAGAATATCAAGAGAATCAATGAAAAAAAAGTGAAGGAAGGGGGCCAGACAGTACCAAATTTCAAACTCTACTACAATGCTGTAAACATCAAAATAATCTGGTACTGGATAAGAAAAAGAGTGGTTGATGGTGGAATAGATTAGGTATGCAATATACAGAAGTATACGACCACAGTAATCTAATATTTGATAACCCAAAGATCTCAGCTTTGGAGGCAAAAGCGTATCATTTGACAAAAACTATTGGGAAAATTGGAAAGCAGTCTGGCAGGAACTAGACATAAATGAACATCTCTTACCAAGATAAGGTCAAAATGGGTATATGATTTAGACATAAAGGGTGATATTAGGGGAGCATGAAACAAATTACCTGTTTGGTATGGACAAGGATCTTCCCTATATTTATGATCAAACAAAAAGAATCACAGGAAGTAAAATAAATAATTTTGACTACATTAAATTTTTTTCTTGCACAAACAAAACCAATGCAGTCAAGATTAGAAGGAAAACAGGAGAAACTTGCTGTAAAATGTTTTTTTTCCTCCTAAATTCAATAAAGTACAAAACTAGAATGAAGAGAAAATTCAGTATATAGTAATTCTCAAAATTGGTCAACATTATAATAAATTCATTTCTAGTGTCAAGTTGTAAAAATGAATTAGTAACTTATTAAAATGCAAATAAAGAATAGAAAATTCAAAATCAAAATTGATCCTTTAATGTTACAGCTGCTAAGTTCTGTGTAATCCTCATTGTGATGCCCTGATATTTGAATTGTTTATTTCTGGCTGTTTGCAATATTTTCTCCTTGACCTGGTCATTCTGGAATTTGGTTATAATTTTCCTTGGGGTTTTCATTTTGGGATCTCTTTCTGGAGGTGATCAGTATATTCTTTCAATATCCATTTTGTCCTCTGGTTCTAGGATATCAGAGCAATTTTCTTTGATAATTTCTGGAAGTATGATGTCCAGGTCTTCCTTTTGATTATGACTTTCAGGTAGTCCAGTGGTTTTTAAATTATCTCTCTTGGATCTATTTTCCAGGTTAGTTGTTTTTCCAGTGAAGTGTTTTACATTTTCTTCTATTTTTTTTCATTCTTTTGATTTTGTTTGATTGATTCTTGATGTCTCATGAGTCATTAGCTTTCACTTGCCTGATTCTAATTTATAAGGAATTATTTTTCTCAGTTAGCTTTTGTACCTCCTTTTCCATTTGGTAATTTCTGCTTTTTAAGAAGTTGTTTTCTTTTTCCAAGATGTTGTTTCTTTTTTCATGATTCTCTTGCATCACTCTCATTTTCCCCCCAATTTTTCTTCTATGTCTCTTATTTGATTTTTAAACTCCTTTTTGAACTCTTCCATGAGTTCTTTCTGGGCTTGAGACCAATTCCCATTCTTCTTTGGGGCTTTGCCATAGGTATTTTGACATTGTTGTCCTCTTCTGAGTTTGTGTCTTGATCTTCCCTGTGACTATAATAACTTTCTATGGTCAGATAGTTTCCTTGTTGTTGTTTGTTGTTGTTTTTCTCATCATTTACAGCCTTTCCCCATGTTCTTAAATTTGAGCTCTGCTGCTGGAATGGAAGGGGTATTGTCCCAAGCTTCTTGTGCCAGGGGCTGCAGGTCGTGACTGTTTTCCTGGTGTGACATTGGTATTACTCTGAGGCCCATGGGGGACCTTTGTGTCTGGTACTGCATGGTGAGGGTGAAGTGAGTGGAGGGGGTGGCACTGCTGGAGGCTGTAGGGGTCTAGCAACTTACCTGCTGCTGTAGCAAGGCACATGGGGGAGGTTTCCTGCACTGGCATTTGCATATGTGCTGAGGCACCATGGAGGGTCCCAGTGCTGGCATCTGCCCTTTTCCTTGGTTATGCTGAGGTATGTGGGGGGTCCCAGCACTGGCTTCTGCCTGCTTGTGCTGCAGTGGGGCTTAGGACCTCCTGTTGGCTTGCTAAGACAGGGCCTGCTGCTGACTTACTGGGATGCTTCCTGTCCTGGACTATGCTCCCCTTTTTACCCAACTGACTCAGACCTTTCCTGCCAACCTTCCAAGTTTCTTGATTATTTCACCCCATCTTTTTGATAGTTATGCCTTTCCAGAATTTGTTTTGGGACACTATTTTATAATTGTTTGGAGGTGAATATGGGAGAGTTAAGGCAATTTTCTGCTTGCTCCATCATCTTGGCTCCTGGAAGTGCCAGAAGATGACTTTCTACTTGTAATATTTGTTGTTACTGTTTCCTTTTCTCTCCCAATCAGAAAGAGAGGTGGGTTGATGTCCTTACAGCTATTAATGTGTTCACCTACTGCATTGGCTTACTTTGACATTTCTTTCAAAGCTGCCCTCTGATTCCGAACATGCTAATTCTGGTTAAAGACATATCTGCACAATACTGGGAACAACTTTTTATCTAAAGTGATCAGTCATACAAAATACCATTTGCAATATTGAGGAAGTAGTGTAACAGGTAAATAGGACACTTTAGTTTTAAGTCTCGATCCTAAATTCGTGCCTACTTGCATTTTGCAAGGCTTGTTAGCAAGATAATAGATATCCCTCAGTTATGCATGGGAATTCAAGGCTCAATAGTCATATGACAGGTTTCCCTTAATTGTACATGGGCAGTAAGATGTGTAGAGACAATATATACATTTTTAAATTAAGGTGATTTATGGGACAATTTAGCTCAGAGAGGAAGACTGAACTTCTGAACCTACAAACTTCTAAACTCAGAGACAAAGAAAGAGACTTAGGTAGTTATATGAAATACAGAATAAAATCAACTACAAATAGAATTAATTACAAAAATAGAATTGACCAAGAGGTGGAATAAATTTGATTTTCTTAGCACTATATGCAGTAAATGCTAGCTATGATACTGCTGCTGTTGTTGTTACTGCACTTTTTCCACTTTGAAAGCAGGCTTCATTCTCTCTGATAGTTGGAGAGTAGAAATGCCTTCTGCAAGCCCCATCATTTTCTTCTCATACCACTATTAAGTATCAGAAGCAGGATTCAAATTCAGTCTCACCATGTCTCTGCATCCAGTGTTTTTTTCCTGTATACCATATTGCATAAATGTCAAGTATTATTATTATTGTCCCAAAAGAGGTAGTTTTGGGGTCTAATAGTTTGATTTTATTTCTTTCAGATGGTTTACCAGAAGATTAAGATAATATCTGTTTTCATTATTATTCTTGTGGTTTCTTGTTTGTATTTGATCATATATAACATGAGCTTAACAGAAATCTACACCTTTTGGACAAGAAAAGAAGGCACAGTAGTTTTCAGGAAAAATGGTGAGAACTTTCTTCAGCTCCCAGATATAGACTGCAAAAAGAATCCTCCATTTTTGGTTGTGATGGTGACTTCATCCCACAATCAGATTAAAGCACGGATGGCTATCCGTGAGACCTGGGGAAAAGAAAGAAGTGTAAAAGGTAAACGTATAATAACATACTTTCTGCTAGGAATCACAGGTTCAAAGGAGGATGATGCAGTGACACAAGAAAGTCAGAAATACAGAGATATTATCCAGAAAGACTTTTTAGATGTATATTTCAATTTGACTCTTAAAACAATAATGGGGATAGAATGGGTTCACCGTTTTTGTCCTCAATCTGACTTTGTGATGAAGACTGATTGTGACATGTTTGTAAATGTGTACTATCTAACTGAACTCCTTATAAGGAAAAACAGAACAACCAGGTTTTTTACTGGTTTTTTAAAGATGAATGAATTTCCAATTAGAAATATATTTAGCAAGTGGTATGTAAGTAAATCTGAGTACCCATGGAAAAAATATCCACCTTTTTGTTCTGGAACGGGTTATGTTTTTTCTAGTGACATTGCAAGTGAGGTTTATAATGTTTCAGAAAAAGTTCCGTTTATTAAACTGGAGGATGTTTTCATGGGACTCTGCCTTGCAGAACTAAAAATTCATCTAGAAGAACTACACTCAGAACAGACATTTTTCCCAGATGGGCTTAAATTTTCTACCTGTCGCTTTAAGAAAATTGTGACCTGCCATTTTGTCAAGCCAGTAGAATTGCTGATATATTGGGCAGCTTTGGAGAAGTCTTTAGATGAAAAATGTCTAGCTGTTTAAAATGATAATAATGACACACCAGGACAAATATTAGACTCTCTGCAGTGACATTTTGGCAGGAGAAGCACGTTTTTGAATGGCACTGTTGAGAGTCACAACCAATCCACATTAAGGAGGGAGAGGAGGACAGAGGCATGTTCCTCAGTGTTCTGAACACAAGACTAAAATTTAAAAACCCAAATGGTAATCTTGAAATGATTTATCCTTTCTAATTTTGAGCCCCCTCAAAATGAAAACAACCAAGTAACAGTTTATTGGCCCCTATAATTATTCTCCTTACCTTCAACCTATCCTAGCATCCCTTGATGTTTATGCTATATCTGATTAACAAAGGCATTACCAATAGAGATGTCTCCAAGTCCCTGGCTTCATTAAGACCTAGCTAGATAAAAAAGGAAGCCTAATGTTGTCTGCTTAGTATTCAGTGCTTCATTGAGATGAATCATTATATCTCAATTCAGCTCTAGACAACATCCAGTTCTAAACTGGAGCCAGCATTTATTTGGACTTTATATTCAAAGCCCCAAATGATAAAACACTGAGTATGTAGAACATTTCGTTGTACTACTGACTCTCATTAGAGCTTGAGTTTGTCTCTGAGCTATTCTGCTATTGAAATTCAATCATTGAGTGTTCATTTAGCACTGAAGAACCACTGTTGGGAATACAAGGGCTCAGGTACTCATCCCTCCCTATATCTAGCTATGTGAACTCATTTAATGGTGGAGCCTTCCTATAAGTAAGAGGGTCAGAATTCCCATTGTCACACTCGTTTGCTTGCTAAAAGCCTCCACCTCATCGTCTGGGTGATTATACTAATTTTAGTTATGTTGACTTGTGAATTTTAGTGAAAGCCTTGATTACTGTTTGTGTCTTTTCATTCAGGTATAGAGCAGATAGATTTTTTACTGCACATGAAAGTACTACACATGATACTACACATGAAAGTAAATTAATGCATGCACTAAGAGAATGATTAGACAGAATTTACTAACGTAACTAAGAAGTATTGGTATATTCATCTGGGAGGCTAATATTATGATATACCAGAATATAAAACAACTGTGCAATTCTGGTAATTTCACCTCAGCACATCCCCTGCCATGAGCTACTGTTGCCCTGGGGACACTGAAGCTCCTTTTGCTTCTCAAGATCTTTGAATCTTTTGAAACTTACAAAGTTCCAGTCCTGGACATAGTCATCATGGGATGGTCCTTCATCTAAGATGAGGAAGAAATAAAAACAAAAGAAAATGTTGTGCTTGTGACTGGAAGGAGGCTGAGTGGGAGATAGGACTCCTGGTTCTTAGGATGCAGCTCTTGGTACCACTTCATAGCTGGAAGGAAAGAGGAAATCAAAGATCTCAGTAGCTTGCTTTTTTATATTCCAAGTCATCAGTTCTCCTGGCTCAGCAGGCAATTTAGGAGATTATAATCATATAGTGCAAACTTTGCATGATATAAGTGTGCCCCACTTAAGTTTCTGTGTGGTGAGGTGGAACCAGGCAGAGAACACTTGCTAGGTATGCTCCAAGGAATGGCTTCTTTTGGCCAATGTACCCATGTTATATTTAGGTAGAATGAGATGAGCTACAGTTTTTCTAAAATTTTCACACTTACGGAACTTAGGGTATAAATGTTAGGATACAAGTATATTCATTCCAAGGTTCTTAATGAATGAATTAAGTTTTTGCTAAGTTAACATTACTTTATTGAACATGTACTGTGTGCCAACCATTTAAGAATTTCAGAGACTCAACATTTTGGGCTGGTCTAGCCAGCTAGATAAGAAACTCCTGAACTTTGAGTTTTTGAGTTTTCTCTGTCATTTTTTTCTGAATAGATATCTGAATGTACTTTTTTCTCAGGGATATGGTGAAAATGAGGTAACTTTTTGCAAAGAGCTACAAGCTTTATGTTTTGTAATTTTTTATTTATTTATTTTTGTTTTCAATATTTACTTCCACAAGATTTTGAGTTCCAAATTTTCACCCCATCTCACCCCTCCCCCCACCCCAAGATGGCATGCATTCTGAATACCCCTTCCCCTAGTCTGCCTTCCCTTCTGTCTCTCACCCCCTTCTCTTATCCCCTTCCCCTTCAATTTTCCTGTAGAGAAGGATGGATTTCTATACCCCATTTCCTGTATTTCTTATTTCCCAGTTGCATGTGAAAACATTTTTTTTAAACATGTGTTTTTAAAACTTTGGATTCCAAATTTTCTCCCTTCTTCCCTCCCCACCCACCCTCATTGATAAGGCAAGCAACTAAATATAGGTTATATATGTGCAGTTATGTGAAACACTTTCATAGTAGACATGCTGTGAAAAACTAACTCTATTTCCCTTAATCCATCCCACCCCCCCATTTATTCTATTCTTTCTTTTGACTCTGACCCTCCTCAGAAGTACTTGCTTCTGATTACCCCCTTTCCCAATCTGCCCTCCTCTCTATCATCCCCCACTCTCTTGTCCCCTCCCCCCCATTTTCCTGTAGGGTGAGACAGATTTCCATACCCAATTGAGTGTGTATGTTATTCCCTCCTTAAGTCAAATTCCATGAGAATAAGATTCATTCATTCCCTCTCACCTTCCCCTGTTTCCCCTCCACTGTAAGAGCCTTTTCTTTTCTGTTTTTTTTTGTGAGATAATTTAGCCCGTTCTACCTCTTCCTTTCTCCTTCTCCTAGTATAATCCTTTCTCACCCCTTAATTTTATTCTCCAGATATGACCCCTTCATCTTCAACTTACCCTGTGCTCTCTATCTATCCATCTATATCTATATATACGTACATATAATTTTTTCCCCTCCAACTACCCTAATACTGACAAATGTCTCATGAGTTACCAATATCATCTTTCTATGCAGGAATGTAAAGAGTTCAACCATAATAAGTCTCTTACGATTTTCTCTTTCCTGTTTACCTCTTCATGTTCCACTTGAGTCTTGTATTTGAAAATCAAATTTTCTATTCAGTTCTGGTCTTTTCATCAAGAATGCCTGAAAGTTCTCTATTTCACTGAATGACCATTTTTTACCCTGAAGGATTATGCTCAGTTTTGCTGGGTAGGTGATTCTTGGTTGTAATCCTATCTCCTTTGCCCTCTGGAATATTGTATTCCATGCCCTACAGTCCCTTAATGTATAAGCAGCTAAATCTTGTGTTGTCCTGATTGTGTTTCCACAATACTTGAATTGTTTCTTTCTGGCTGCTTGTAATGTTTTCTCCTTGACCTGAGAACTCTGGAATTTGGCTACAATATTCCTAGAAGTTTTCCTTTGAGTATCTCTTTCAGGAGTTTATTAGTGGATTCTTTCAATTTCTATTTTGCCCTCTGGTTCTAAAATATCAGGGCAGTTTTCCTTGATTATTTCTTGAAAGATGATGTCTATTCTCTTTTTTTGATCATGGCTTTCAGATAGTCCAATAATTTTTAAATTCTCTCTCCTGGATCCATTTTCCAGGTCAGTTGTTTTTCCCATGAGATATTTCACATTGTTTACGTCTTCATGTTCCACTTGAGTCTTGTATTTGAAAATCAAATTCTCTATTTAGCTCTGGTCTTTTCATCAAGAATGCCTGAAAGTCCTCCATTTCACTGAATGACCATTTTTTCCCCTGCAGGATTATACTCAGTTTTGCTGGGTAGGTGATATCTCCTTTGCCCTCCAGAATATTGTATTCCATGCCCTACAGTCCCTTAATGTAGAAGCAGCTAAATCTTGTGTTATCCTGATTGTGTTTCCACAATACTTGAATTGTTTCTTTCTGGCTGCTTGTAATATTTTCTCCTTGACCTGGGAACTCTGAAATTTGGCTACAATATTCCTAGGAGTTTTCCTTTGGGGATCTCTTTCAGGCGGTGATCAGTGGATTCTTTCAATTTCTATTTTGCCCTCTGGTTCTAAAATATCAGGACAGTTTTCCCGGATAATTTCTTGAAAGATGATGTCTGTTCTCTTTTTTTTCTCATGGCTTTCAGATAGTCCAATAATTTTTAAATTCTCTCTCCTGGATCTATTTTCCAGGTCAGTTGTTTTTCCAATGAGATATTTCACATTGTTTTCTCATTTTTCATTCTTTCAGATTTGTTTTATAATGTCTTGATTTCTCATAAAGTTACTAGCTTCCAATTACTCTATTCTAATTTTTAAGGAAGTATTGTCTTTAGTAATCTTTTGGACTTCCTTTTCCATTTGTCCAATTTTGCTCTTTAGGGCATTCTTCTCCTCATTGGCTTTTTGGATCTCTTTTGCCATTTGAGTTAGGCTGTTTTTCAAGGTGTTATTTTCTTCAGTATTTTTTTGGGTCTCCTTTAGCAAGCTGTTGACTTGTTTTTCATGATTTTCTTGCAAAACTCTCAGTTTTTCCTCTACTTCTCTTACTTGCTTCTCAAAATCCCTTTTGAGCTCTTCTAAGGCCTGGGGCTGATTCATATTCTTCTTGAAGGCTTTGGATGTAGGAGCTTTGACTTTGTTGTCTTCTTCTGGTTGTATGTTTTGATCTTCTTTATCACCAAAGTAAGATAATATAATCTGACTCTTTTTGCACTGCTTACTCATGATCCTGACCAATTACTTGAGTTTTAAACTCTTTGTTAAGGTAAAAGTCTGCTTCCAATATGAAGAGTGTACTGTCCCAAGCTTCAGGGGTTTGTACAGCTGTTTTCAGAGGTACTTCTAGGGACCTGTAAATTTTCAGTTCTTCCAAGGTGCTATGATAAGGGGCGCGGTGTTTTCTCTCCACCGCCACAAGAAGCTTCACCACACCAGCATTACTCCTCGCCCCAGGACTGCCCCTCAGAACTGTGACCCAGATCCAGGCACAGACAGAGCAAGAGATTCCTGCCTCAGTTCTGGCAAAGAGATCCTTGCAATCCCCTTCTGATCAGCCACTCGATTCCCCCTCAGTCTGTGGACCGGAAGCTCAGGAAACAGCTGGGACCCCGGGGGTGGCTGAGACCTAGCTCCTTTTCTTACCACAGTCACAGACTTTTCCCG